TAAAAGTACCCATTCATCTGGCATGTGTTTCTTTACTTATCGTGATATTCAGTATCTGTTGAACATACACCTTTCAAATCCCTATCATTACTTAGAGAAATGCAATGGGTTTTCAAAAATTATTTTAGTTTAGCCTATAATCACATGAAACAGTTAAAATAATATTAAATATTTACTTGTCAGTGGTAATGAACATTTGTAATCATCATAGACTATGACTATTATATACTACACAAAATTCCTGGGTACATAAAATTATTTGATTAATATTGCCATGCTAATAGAAAAAAGAGATAAAATATGAGTGAAGCAAGCTGAAATACACAATGGTATTTAACAGAAAAGATGTTGATCCAAAAGCATGTTACCATATAAAAGCATGATATTTTCATTTCCAATTTCTTCTTTGATATGCCCTTATCTTCTTGCTTGCAGAATAATTTAGAAGTCATAATTTTGTTGTTATAGAACTTTGTGTATTTTATTCTTTCTTCTCTCAGCTGGATCATGAGTCTAAGGTTCTAGTTTATGAAAGAGAGTGCTCACATGGAAACTGATAGGCAGACACTCAGGACCAAATGTCTTATCAAGGCCTATCTTATGGGAATGTGGTCCCATGACTTTAATTAATTTGAATATCAGAACAAATATATTTTTTTTTCTTTTCTTCTAACCTCTCTATATTATTTTTTCGCTTTTCTCTCTTTGTCCTTTGAGAAAGACATGCATTTTTCTCTTAGGATTTATCAATTCCCCTTTCAAACATCATTTCTATCTTAATGAGAAACCAAAATGTATTGCATTCTCCTCACAAATCCCCTTACATTATTAAGTCTTATGGTGTTGTTAGGTGGCATGGTGTCAATTCCTACTCAACAACTCTATGTGTAATAGAACAAAATGTGGCCCAATCCTGTATCACTCTCACAAGAATGACTGTGCTATTTGTCCATTGTATCTGTGCCCATACATCTCATTGAAGGGCTCCCTCATTTTCTCTGATTTTCTACTTATACAGGAAGGCGTCTTCTTCTAGAGACTTGCCTCTCCTGAAAACATGCCCCAAGTAATTTAGATTTTTATTTTAATGATAATAACAAGGGCAGAATAATATCTAGAATTCAGTGTTTTCCTATGAGTGTTTATTTAGAAAGATTATTGAAATGTATCATTTTCCATTGTAAAATTATATATTTTAAACACTTTCAAAATTTTCCAGAGTCTAAGTTGGAATTGAGAATTTGTTCCCAATTGGAAATATATTTTGGGGTTTTTTTTTTTACATTAAAGAGTAAATTTTGAGTGCCTACCAAACTGCTTAGTCAGTCATGTGACGGATTGCAATGTGGAATTTAACTTCAGTCACATATCAAGTGAAACGTATTTAATGTTAGTATTGGAAATGTTAGTATTTCTAAGAGCTTGACTGTCCCTTCTCAGGGTAAGAGAGTCCAGTAAAGAACAACTAAGTATACACTGTAATAACTATACAAATTATAAAAAGAGAAATATTTTTTCTTCAAAAGACAGCAGAATATTTGTAAATAGGATAATACTATGAGTAAATTAACTTATTCAAGGTTATTGATGTCACACACTTAGAGAAGGACATTATGCTTGGAAAGGTGGAAGGATGGTGAAGAAGAGGAAGACCCTCAACCGGGAGGATTGACATAGTTACTGGAGCAATAAACCCTAAGGTGCCAGACATAGTGAGATGGCACAGGAGAAGAGAGCCCTTAGTTCCGTTGCTCATAGAGTTGCTATGAGTCATACTGGACTTGGTGGCACCTAACAACAACAGCAACAGCATTGATGTTATACTGTAAATCTAAAGATTCAAGCCAAAACGTAAGTAACTTAAATATTATGTTCCTTTTGCTTCGAGATTTGTCCCCCATTTTTTTGTCCCCTATTTTTTAAAGTTTATTTTCATTTGAAACAAATGTCCTTGTCTTCTCCCCATGTCATGCCCCACGGATCTTCTGGGCAAGGCTGCATATGCTGAGAGATTGCAGAATTCAGTGTAAATATTCCCTCTTCACACCCAGGCTCCTTAGCAGCTTCTTGTCTGAGTGGGGCCCCAGCCCCTTCAAAATGTGGGAATGTTTCTCTAAGGCTATACCAAAGATGAGGAAAAACTCAGACAAGTGTTCGCAGATATATAGATGGTGGTCCTCACAGACTCACACTATATTAAAGTGATGGAATGTTTAGAAAATCATGCAGCTTTGCTCAATTCTCCAAACTTATGAGACTCTGTTTTGGAGTTACTGCTGTGTTCTTGTTTCCAAAAAATACCAACCCATGATATTCACCACATGGGAAAGGACTTAAAAGAAAAAGGAATACATTTTTTATTTTTTTGTTTGAGTCCAGAATAAGAGCTGCATAGTAAAGGGACTGGGGAGGGGTTGGGAAATTGTACAACAATGAAAAAAAATATATTTTTCAAAGAGGAAAGCAAACTGGGTGGGCAAGAGCCGTGGGCAGGGAGGAAAATATACAACAGTGGATGAATGGAAGTCCAAAATCTCTATACACTTTCATTAAAATCTCAATTTAAAAAGTCTTCCAAGCATCCTAAAAAACCTACAACCAGGAGAGGGTGAATTAGATTTATGGGACCTTCTAAGAATCAAATCCCTGTGCACATCCAAAGATTTCTCGTACAGAGTGAAAAGGGAAGCCACACATTGGGAAATAATATTTGGTAATGACACGTCTAACAAAGCACTCAATCTAGAATTTCTAAAATACGTGAGCAGCACCACAACAAGATAAAAGTAAATAACCCAGTTGAAAAATGTGCACAGGAAATGAATAGATACTTCACCAAAGAAGACATTCAGATGGTGAGCAAACACATGAAGAAATGTTCAAAATCTCTAGCTCTAAGATAGATACAAATCAAAATAACTATAAAATATCATCTCACTGCAGTAAGAATAGCAAAATTTAATAGAACAGCAAACATCAAATGCTGGCAAGGTTGTGGAGAAACTGGAACTCTTATTCACTGTTCGTGGGAGTGTAAAATGTTACAATCACTATGGAAGTCAGTATGGCACTTTCTCAAAAAGTTGTAAATAGAGATACCATTGCACCCAGCAATTCCACTACTGGGAATTTACCGTAAAGAAACCATAACTGCCACCCAAGCAGATATATGTGCACCCATGTTTAGCGCAGCTTTGTTTTCAATAGCAAAGAGCTGGAAACAACCCAAGTGCCCATCAACAAATGAATGGACAATGGAACTCATGAAATATTATGCAAAATGGATGTCCCTGGAGGCCACTATGCTGAGTGAAATATCCCAGTCACAAAAGGACAAATATTGCATAGGGTCCTGTTGTAAAATGGATCTGACATTAGGGTTGAAGGAAGACAGAAAAGGAGGGGAGGAATGACAAATATTGCATTGAAACAGATGAGGGAGAAAACTGTTTAAAAGGGACATATGAATGGGTATTCTTGTAATTACAGAAGTCCAGCGTGAAGGCTGCATAGTGGAGTGGATTGGGGGTGGGGGTGGGGGAGGGATTGCATAACAACGAGTTTTGTCTTTTTCTTTTCAAAGAGCAAAGTGAATTGGGGAAGGAGGCGGTGGGCAGGGAGAAAACTGCAGTAATTAATGACTGAAAACCTAAAGTGTCTGTAAACTGTCATTAAAATGAATAAAAATAAAACCCCAAACTTTAACACATTGCCATGGAAGTGGAACTGAATCATAGCTTATGCTATATTTGGTTTTTAGAGGTTATAGATCATACAGGAGGAGACTGTTCATCCTTCTCCCATGGAGTAGCTGGTGTGGTTGACCTGCCTACATTTGGGTTAGCAGCACATCTCCTTACTCTTTAGGCTACCAGAGTTCCCTAAAATAAAAATGATATGGTCATATTAATTTTATGTAAAATTTTGGTCAAAATTCCAGAAGAGTTGCTTTTTTTCTGAAATCATAAAATTCTAGGAGATAAGTATTTTGTTTCAACCCATTTTCTACTCTTAGTATCTTGTGGAAAAATTAGATAAGGTTTCTTCCAGTGGGGAGCTTCTCTGAACTAGGTTGGTAAGCTCATTCTTTAGCTCTTTTAGACTAAGC